AAATTCGTGTTTGAATCATCAGTGGCAAATCCTTTAAATGAAAACGTACTTACGTGAGTCAGAACTGCCGGCATTTTAGTCTAACGTTACTCTTCCAGGATCAGTAAACAGTCCTCCATAAAATGTGCTGCACACATCTGAATATTTGGGTTGAACTGTTCTGGAACAGTGTTGTAAATACAACTTAACCACTGATTTCTAGTCGTGTCCTCTTTTGGAAGGCCAAACAAAGTAGTTTCGCTTTCACAACGAAAAACACGGCGGCCTAGCTTGAGCTGAGGCCGGGCTAGAGTGACCAGAGGTGGCGGGGTTGAGAACGGCGCGGCCGGCGAATCCGACGAAGGAGCGGCAACCACATGTGACGACCCCGGGCTGGACTCCGCTTCGTCCACGGTGAAAGCCGATCCGGTGATCCACAGCACTAAGTTGATGTATTCCCTCAGCAACCAGCACAGATCAGCTCTAGGCATGACGAAGCGGATATCGTCCTCTTTTGGAAGACCAAACAAAGTAGTTTCGCTTTCACAACGAAGCACACAGCGTCTTCACGACATGGGGGCAGCGGCAACAATACTACAGTGAGAATAAAAGTTACGCCTTCTTTCTTTGCGTGAACATTTGGGCGGTGTTATGCAAATCTTCCCACATAGTGAGGTAGATATGTGGGGGCGTGTTAGAACGAGCCGTTTTAGGTAGGTGTGGCTGACTCTTAAGTTTTATAAAGAATATCTCTTTGGATTTGAGACTTTAGTCTTTGCAACTTTACAGATCTTCTTTATGCACCAAGAGCTTGTAACACTCCAAAGAGAAAGGAAAAATTGAAATCGCATCATATGACCCCTTTAAATCTTTGCTTCTGGCTGAAATAAGGGTCATCTATTCATAATATTGTCTTCTGCAGTGAAAAAGCCATCTCATCTGAATTAGAACAGAAAATATGCACAGATCAAGTGCTGTTTACAAGAAAAAAAAACAGAAGATGGAATTTTACACTGAAGAAAGCATTATTATTGATTATTTTGGCCAGAAGCAACAGTTTAAAGCACTTTAATGGTGTATTTGTTTCTTACAAACATGCAGCTTTTAACTTGACAAGAGGTTAATTGATGGACTGGAGTCGTGTGGATTAATGCGATGTTTTTATCAGCTGTCTGGACTCTCATTCTGATGGCACCCATTCACTGCAGAGGATCCATTGGCGAGCAAGTGATTTAGCAAAGCTAAATTTCTCCAAATCTGTTCCAATGAAGAAACAAACTCATCTATATCTTGGATGGCTTGAGGGTGAATAAATTTTAAGCAAATTCTAATTTTTGTGTGAAATATTCCTTTAATAAAGTTTCATCAATAGGTGCATGCTTGAGATGAAATGTGATGATGTTTAAAGAAAATTAAAAGGAATTAATGTAAATATTACTTGAACAGAATATTTAATTGTACATCATTTGCAATCAAGCTGTAAGATTGTCAACATTATACAAACAGTGAATATATTATGAATTGTATGAATTTAAAATAATGAAATTATCCTCAGCAAGGACTCAGGAACAACAGATTTGGAATGTCTGAAATGTCATTTCCATCACAAAATGATATTAAACACAACACAGTACATCATTTGAGATGTGGTAGAAATGACACTGGTTAAAATGTTCAAAATGACAAAAATAACAGAGTTCTCCTGGGATGCATGTATTCACACACACACACACACACACACACACACACCATTGTACATTGTTAAACTAGTGAGAGAGTGTAAACAGTAAGTTTTATTTTCTAAAGGTTCACAGGTCCAAAAGTCCCTATATTTGAAGAAACTTCCTCATGAATAATGTACAGTTGATATATGCAGTTGATTGCACTAAAGGAACAAGCTCACACTTTACACATTATATATTATGCATTAGGCTATATAATTAAAAACCCAAAAGGACAAGGGTAGATAAATTCCATTCATGAACCGCCAGAGGTTGTGACATTCATAAACCATTAAATTCTCCTCTAAGAAAGAGCAAATCAGCTGGATGTGGGATTTTCCAGTCATTCCTTAATGTTGTTGTGAGGAGATTTGGGGATGACAACAGGGCAAAGACCTTCACTTCAACATCATAACCAGTAAGAGGTCACAATTATCATGTGTTCAACATCACATCCACACACACACTGTGGTAAGAAAGTTAATAACAAATCTCAGCTGGAGTTATCAAATTCTCAGCCAGTCCACCAGAGACATGCACATAATATATATGTAAAGTGTGAAAATGTTTTGAGGCTGTTATATTATAGGCTTGACAATCATCAAGTACCACCGATTTAAAGGAACAGTTTACCCAAAAGAACCTTCCAAGTTGTGTGTGTACCATCTCTATGAAAACAACAGCTTGCTAATGTTGACTAACTGTCTTTATATTCACATCACAGTTTCCTCCTTGTGTCTACAGTATGTTGGGTGAAGTGAACTCCTGACTGTGGCATTTTCTTGTCATAGTATCTATGGGTGTGTTGGAACCTGGAGAATCATTAAACATTTACAGGTCATTTTAAAAAGCCCACAGAGGGCAGTGAGGCATTTGGACACTCGATCTTAACCATATAAAACTTACAAGCTTACAAATTCTAAGGTCTTTAAATGATCAATGTTAAAAACTTTACTGAGAAATCCCAGAAAAATAGTCTGTTACATGCCCTCTTACGTCTGATATACACTAGTTTATACTTCTTTTAGCAAGTAACAGACCTTTTATTATATTGGAAAAACGTTCACCTTCAGGTCGTGGTTGTTCATGTCTTTTTCCTGCGAAATCTTTACTGATTTTTATTAAGTAAATGTAAAATTATCTTTTATATTGTTCAAGATAAACACTTATTGGACTGAAGCAACTTATTTGATTATCCATACATATGTTGGTCTCACTTTATTTTAACGTCCAATTCTTGCTATTAACAAACCATTAACTACAACTTTTGGCTCAATGAACTACTAATTTGCTGCTTATTTATAGTTAGTAAGGTAATTGTTAAGTTTAGGTATTGGGTAGGATTAGGGATGTAGAATATGGTCGCGCAGAATATGTGCTTTATAAGTACTAATAAACAGCCAATATGTTAATAATAGGCATGCTAATAAGCAACTAGTTAATAGGGAGAATTGGTTGATGTTAATTATGACAACTCTCTGAAGATTTTAGCATGGTGATGGGCGGAATAGATCTGCTACACTGCTGCTGAAATGCTGCTGTTGTTGGTTATTGCTGTAGTTGTAGATTATTGCTGCTGCTGCAAACAAATACAGGAACTTGCTTCTACCAATGCATACGGCGATTGTCACGAATCCGGTCTATGAACTTCAATTCACTCACCACCAGAGGTCACCCTTCCATTACATTGACTCTCGCACTACACAAACTGTTGCATGTCATCCCGGACTACATATCCCATCATCCATTGCACTGATTGCACACAGCACTGATTGCACAAAGCTGTAACCTATCACACATTCACTATATAACACTCACTCAGATCCCTTTCAAACTCCGAGTATTGTATGCGCTTATCGCCAGCAGTGATAGCTACCTTACAGAGCCCTCGTTAGCTTCCTAGCCTAGCCTAGTCTTGCCTTGCCTTGTCTGTTTTCTCGGTTTCTGATCTTTGCCTGTGTACCTGGATTTATCCCTCTAGTCTCGCCCTGTTGATTCTGTTCGCCGATCGTAGACCCACGCTAGCCCTAGGAATATT